TAAATAAAGTTATTTATATAATTTATTAAATAAATTTTATTTAATATTTTAATAAGTTATGTTAAATTTAACGATATGTCTTTTCTTAAGTGAATAAATAATAATGAATTAAAAATATTTTAATATATATTTCAATCAAAAATATTTTTAAAATTTTTATAATTAATATCTATTTAGGATATTAAGGGAAATACTCTAATTTATATATTTTAATATAATAATAGAGTGATAGTATAATACCTATATTTTTAAATAATAAAATTTTAATTTATTAACATATGAGTGAAGAATAATATAATACTTATATTTTTCGGGAAAAAGGAGTGTGATTAATTTATTTTAACAAAATTAAGTTAAATGAACTAAATTATATATTTTAACATAAAAGATGAGAACAATATAATACTCTTATCTCTTAGGAGATTGTAGCGTAATTTACTTTAAATATTTTGTTTCATTATAAAGTATTTTTTTCATAAAGGTGAAATCACTATAAAAAATGTTACATATAATAATATATAAATATAAATCTATTTGATATATATTCACGTATAATTTTAGTATTGATTTTGAATGAAATTCATCAACATATATTATATGTTTCTATAATAAATATACCTACACATTTAACAATTATGATAAGATAATCGTAGATAAAAATAATTTTTAATAATAAATTTTATGCCATTATATAGTGTCTTATTATAATTTTTTTTTAATAATATTACTATAAGATAATAACACTCCTACAATATGACACTTCAAATCTTATTGATCCACGCTTAAGCAAGGTCAGGGGTTCGAATCCTGCCTTGTGTATGCAGCCGCGTTAAATCTTGGGGCCAGCTATCTCACCCTTTAAGGTGCCTCCAATGTAGCGATGAGATTAGTCACTGCTGTCGGCGGTAGATACTCCAGGGACGAACAAAAAAAAATCTTATTAATCATATTTAACACGCTAAATATTATTAAAGAAAAAAAAAAGAGAAAGAAACAGGCGTGGGTATTATAAAGTAAATCACTTGAATAGTCATTATAGAGCGTGTTTACAAAAAAGTGGTCATTTTTGTGCTTACCCATTTTAATTTTTATATTTATTTTATGAAATAAAATTGATTAATGATTGTAGTTGGATGACGTTTAAAATCAAAATGACAGTTATTTAGTAACAATGACTCATAAGATGATAAGAAATAAATTGATGATATCTGGTTCACATAATTTAAATGTATGCTAATGTGTTAATTCGAGAACCAAGTTATATCCTTATATATATATTTTTAAAGGGATATGATCACTGACTAAAGTACAGATCATATCTACTTTTATAATGATCACCCTAGCTTGGGTCCAAAATATATATTTTTTTTTACTAATTTTTATAGATATAATATTGTATACTCAACAGGTAGACTTTTAGTTTTTAGTTCTCTTCTGGGCTTTTTTCTTTTTTTCTTTTTTTCCTGAATTTTTAAAATTTAAAAATATTTTAAATTATTTTAAAAGTCAGAATTTGAAAATTATTTTGAATATTTAAATTTAATATTTTTAAATTTTATATATTTAATATTATAATTATCTATTAATTTCAAAATTTACATTTAATTATATTAAATTTTATGTTAAAAATAAGGCTAATGTAATAAATTATTTATTTTATAAAAATAGAACTATTTTTAAAAATTATTTTAATTTAATTTTAAATTTAGAATTAAAATTTATATAATAATAATATATTTTTTAATATTTAAAATATATTTTTAAAAATATAGATAATTTAATATTTTAATTTAGTAAATCCTTAGTTATACTTTTAAATATGTAAAATTTATTTTATTTTTTATTTTCCTTTAATAATTATAGATAAATAATTAGAAATAAAAAGCTTTTGAAAAATATTTTAAATTAAATTTAATTAATTTACATAAAACTTAGAAGTTATATAACAAGAAATATTTATATTATATGTTAAATTCTATATTATAAATAAATGAATGTTAGGATATTTTGAAATATATATATGACGTTAATTTTGTTTTACAAGAATGAAGTATCAAATCATCTTAAATTCATATAAAATTATGTATACACGATCTAAGAGTAAAAAACTTTTAATCTAACAGTTGAATTTATAAAATTCACATTTATTATAAAGTTATTGAACGATGTAATACTTAGTAAAAGTTACACTGCTGTTATTATAACCCTTCTCTTTTAAAATATTATTTTTATAACCAAGACAACTAAGAATTTTTTATCTCTCACATTTTCCATCAACTCAAGTTGAACTGAATCTAGATCATTCAATTTACAAGACTCATGGGTAATTGTTGGGATACTCCAATGTCGGAGAGACCTTTAGGTGATGACAAAAACCATTAAGGACTTAGGCCCAAAACATATAAAATTTTATTATTATAGAGTATGCTTGTCAAATGTGTGAAGGGAGATAATAATAACTAATCCTTAGTGTCGAAATAATTTCACAATGACTTTTAGGATGTTCCCAAATGTCACTCTCAAGTATATTATTCCAATGTCTGATATCATACTCTTTTCTCAACATACCTCTTACAGATTGTGCTGCTAAAGGCGATCCATCAAACTTTTTAAAATTTCCCTTCCAATTCTTTCTAGAGCACTTATATTATTATTGGATTCTGAGGGAGGAAATGCATGGTTCGCAAACACTAACCAACAATTTTCATTTGAAAATTTATCCAAAGGTTACACTTGAATAGTATCAAAATGGACTATTTTTGTAACATTTTCACTGCGAGTTGTCTTGAGAATTTTACTTCCCTTGATCCCACTTACAAATGGTTTTTTAAGACTTATCCAATTATCATTACGTTCAATCCAAACATCATCCAAGACAACTAAGAATTTTGTATCTCTCAACTTTTCCATCAACTCAAGCTGAAGTGAATCTAGATCGTTCAATTTACAAGACTCATGGATAATTGTTGGGATACTCTAATGTCGGAGAGGTCTTTTAGGTGATTACCAAAAGTATTGAGGACTTAGGCCCAAAGCAGACAATATTTTATTATTGTAGAGTATGCTTACAAAATGTGTGAACGGAGATAATAATAACTAGTCCTTAGTGTCGGAATAATTTCACCAAGACTTTTAGGATGTTCCCAAATGTCACTCTCAAGTATATTATTCCAATCTCTGATATCATACTCTTTTCTCAACATACCTCTTAGAGATTGTGCTGCTAAAGGCGATCCATCAAACTTTTTAACAATTTCCCTTCCAATTCTTTCTAGAGCACTTATATTATTATTGGATTCTGAGGGAGGAAATGCATGGTTCGCAAACACTAACCAACAATTTTCATTTGAAAATTTATCCATAGGTTACACTTGAATAGTATCAAAATGGACTATTTTTGTAACATTTTCACTGCGAGTTGTCTTGAGAATTTTACTTCCCTTGATCCCACTTACAAATGCTTTTTTAAGACTTATCCAATTATCATTAC